CCTAGCCCAACAATGAGTGTAAAATAAAGTGCCGCAGCAGGGGAAATGCTATCAATTTGATGACTGAACTATCACTTAAGAAACTTAAACTCAAGATGATTCATCGAAATAAAAGAAAAGGATTGAAAAGAAAATGCAGGAAAAATGTAGAAAAGAAAAACCAATAAAAAGGCAATTTGTTATGCAAATGATTTTGAAATCAAGATACACAGACACAGCACATCCTTGAGGCGCACAGCAGGGATGCAGAAAAAAGGTGGACGACCTCGCAGGATGCAAGGCAAGAAAAAATATCTGTACATCCCTTAATAAATATTAAAAACAATACAAAATATATATATATTTAAAACGAGTGAAAAACCATTTTCATATAATATTTATAAGCAATTTATATTAATCTGGAACATTCTTATAAAAGGAATTTTTAACCAGACATAAAGTAAAGAATTTTAAAAACAATGCAAAAGAAAAAAAAAAACAAGCTGAGAGAGAGAGAGAGAGTAAAAAATAAGCCGAAAAAGGATATACCCAGAGAGTCAAGCACAAAGAGCAAAAGAAGAGAGCGAGAGTGAGAGAGAGCGCCGCCCAGTGGCAGTCAGACGTCAACGCTGCGTATGCGTAATGCCAGCGAACGGACAACCAAAAGTGGAATGGCGGAAAATTAAAGTTTGCAACCGCTCCCCCTCCCTCCAACCAACGAAATCCTTTCTCTCCTGCCCGCAGGCTGCCCTCATTTTTTTTTTTTCGACATCTCTCCCAACGACTTCCTGACGTGCACAACGGCGGCGAGCGCAATTTATGGCGTGGCAATGCGTACGAGCACGAGACAGGGAGGGGAGGGGACTGGAAAAGGACCCAGAGAGGGGAGTGGCACAAGGTGCACCCGGTAGACGGACATTAGGGTGAACCAAGCCCTTGAAATATATTACTATTCATTAGGGGAAAGTGAGTGATACATTATAATAATAATAATAATTATTATTAATGTTGTTATTATTACAAATATTATTATTGTTATTTATATTTTTATTATATTTAAGCCTTTTTAAAGACTTAAAAATCAAGAAAACATTTTAATTCAGTTCAAAAATTGCTAAGATTAATCATAAAAGCAAGTCCACACTGCGTATGAGTAATAAACTGAAATAAACCATTTAAAAGAACACTTAATGCAACTTTTTATCAAACTTTTCTTAAACTTTCTCCCCCATTTGTATACATTTAATTAAAATTAAAAAAGAAGAATAAATGAAAGGAGAAGCACCCTGTGGGACAGACATATATAAATTAGGGAGAGGAGGGTTGGGGTTGGGGTGGTAATACCCGCTCCTCCCTGGGGGGGCGGCAAAAGTTCAACCGTGTTTAATTTGCCTTCTTACACTTTTCCTCTCTCTCTCTCTCTCTCTCTCCTCTCCCCCTCCCTCTACTAATGCACTCGCATGTTGCATTTACACAAAAATTTCCTTTTCGTGTTTTTTCGTTTTTTTTTGGGGGGGAATAAAATAAATAAAAAAGCAAATATTTTTGTTTCGCTTTGCGGGCTTTGTTCGTCGGCAAAACGAAGGAATAACAGAGAATGTTTTTCCTTCTTTTGTTTTTTCCTGGTTTATTTTGTTTTATGATTCTTTCTCTCTCTCACTCACTCTCTCTTTCTCTCTCTGTCTCTCTCTCTTTTGGTGTTTCCTCTCTGTTTTTTTGTTATTGTTGTTTCTGCATTGCTCAGTCAATTTAAATTGCATTTATTCAAATTTCGTTGACAAGGCTTGCTTGCGGTTTTATTTTTTTAATGAAAAGAATGCAATGACTTGGCAGGGGCGGCTTTAAAGTGGTTTAATTAAAGGAAAATGTAGCAGGTGCAAGTTTTTGATGATTTTACAAAATTCAGGTAGGTAGGTGATTCCCAAAGAAAGAGTTTTCAGACTATCAAAAGGCAAATACCCATTAAACGAAATAATAAAACAAAACTGCTTTCAATGATTAAATAACACATGTTGGGTGTGGAAAATATTTTCTAAACCAGATATCCTTGGTATATAATGACTAATTTGAATAAATTAATACATTTTTAAATTAAACTTTAGTTTGTGGGGATTTAAATAGCCTTAGAATGCGTCTAAGCTTTGTTTTTATAGGCAGAAATCCTTGATTTTAATGGAAAGTCTATGAAAAACAGGTTTTAGATTATCAAAATGTGTCTAATTGTGAGGTTTGATATATTTTTATGGATTAAAAAACACATGTAGATAGTGATTATGGAATTATTCCTAGTAGATTAAATATCTCATTTAGAAGGTTTTATAATAGAAACAGTCTATACTTGAGCTATTTTTAATTTTTGTGAATGATAAAACCCCCTCAGATCTTTCATATTAACCTTAAGATACTTCTTAATTGCATACTAATCATTTATTAAGAGGTTTTTCATTATTTTTGCCTAGTTAAGCACTTTAGTACTTGTGTTTTTCATATTTTAAACACTTTTATTATTATTTCTTAAAATATTTATAATTTTTTCAACTCTTTTTCACTTGATAAACCTTTATTTCATTGACTTTTCACTACATAAACACACTTGAATATCTTTTGCATTTGGTAAACCTTTCAATTCACAATTGATTGATAGTTGGGCGGCGATTACTTCCTCATCGGCGCACATTTGTTTACCGGAGAATTAACTTCTGAGTACTGGGGCACCGGCATTATAATAATAATAATAAAAAACGACGATGAATAATAAGAGTTATATGTTTATTTCCCATGTGACTTCCAAAACACACAAAAATACAGGCACAAAAAGCGAAAGGCAAGCAGAGACCCAAGGGAGAGGGTCAAAAATTTAACTGCAATTACTTTGGTAGGTTGTTATGACCACTATTATTAGTTATAATTAATATATATATATGCATGTATAACGTTATATGTATTACGTATTATTTATAAAGCACTTTTGCATGTTTTTTTTTATGGTAGTTATACGATTTCGGTTTTCTTTTGGTTATATTTTCTTTTACTGTTTAATTTTTTCTATATTTCCCCTAGATATTTGCTGTCGTACGCGTCGGATACGCGTTATAATGTTAACTGAACTGAATGAGATTCTGAATCAAACGGAATCGAGTTTCCTATAAAAGTGCCCCCAAAACGAAAGAGAGAGAGCAGCGGCAGTAAGAAGAGAGGGTAAGGCTAGAAAGAGTGCTCGTTCTCTCTTCAAGCACAAAATAGAAAATAAACAAAGGCGCAAAACGTGCGCAGACTGTGCGAGTGAGATGCAGCTAAATGTAACCGTATGCCGGTTGCAGCCTCTCAACGGGTGCGAAAGAGAGCGGCTGCTGCAGGCATTCTAAAAGAGAGAGAGGAAATAATCAAAAGAAAACCATAAGAGCGAGAGAGAGAGGGGCAGCGAAATGCAAACGACAATAAAAAGCTTCAAAGTTAAGTCAACAAGGCAGGCACAAGCAGCCCCATCAAAATTTAATAGTCATCAAAAAAGATGTGTAAAAAAAAAGAATTAAGAGAAGAGAACAACACAAACTGGACAATAAATGCCGCTGTGCTAATTATCGCTAAAGATGATAAACCCCAAAAGATGGAAATGAACGTGAAAATCGGAATGAAAACGAAGTAGAAACATCTCTTTTTTCACCTCCCCCCACTTCCAGTAGCTCCATCCGTCTGTCGTCTGCTTTATGTTTGCTCAAGTGTTTGTGTCGAATCAGAGAGGCATCCCTACATTTTTTAGATACAGTGGGACTTCTTTAAGGGTGAAAATATAAATAAATATTACTATATTTTGTATTTTTTGTACAATTAATTAAGAGCAACTTGACTTAAGGGGAATACTAGAAAATGTTAAGGCTTAAAACAATAAAATATAAATATTTTCTAAATTTTCACACATTTTCAATAGAAAAAAAACAAATTCAGGTATTAAATTCAAATATTAACTTCTAATATATGTGTAAAAATATTTTTAAAATATATAAAATACTTAAAATAATTTGAAATACTGAAATTTATGTGTTTTCATGGGATCTTATATTTCAAAACATACTTTAAAATCCCTTTAAATTAATTAAAAAGTCACATAAAATTTCCCTAGAAATATCTTTTCAAAATCCCTTTCTGAACTCCCCTCCAAAAGTTCATTTTCATGTATACCCACTGTATCTCTCTGTCCGAATATGCCATTTAAGTAACTTTAACATGAGATAAACTTTTAGCAAACTGCCGCAAGTAGCAAAGATTTGAAAAGTGAAAAAGCAAACATACGACAACAGAATGTACGAGTATTTGCATAAATTTATACACATAGATGTTTGTGTGCGAGTGGGTGAACCTTAACTAGGCGTTAAGTGTCTCTAATTTATGGCTTACGTTGATGACGGACAAAAACAAGAGGAAAACCTTGTTCTCTGTCTGATGTGATGGTCACTTCAAAGTAACTGGTTAATAATATTAAAGCAAAAGTATGGGAGTTTGAAATTCGGTGATCTTGTTTTAATTTTTTTAACTTAATTTAGTATGTTTTTCTTGAAGGATTTTTAAAGATTTTTTTCAATTAATTTTTTGGTTCACTGAGCACTGCTTGCTTACGTATGAGTAATGCACTGCTTTATAATATTTTATTTAATTTCTTCTAGTGCATACTTTCCGGCTGCATTTGATCGAGCATTTTTACTTGCATGTAAAAACCCCATGTCAAATTGATAGGGAACATACAAGCTTGGTTAATCTTACGCTAGATGTCGCGCATGATTAAGACACATATTTAAAAGTGATTTGAAATCACATATTAGAAAATTACAAATATATTGCAATGAACTTTATAATAAATACAAAACCAGCCTACAAAATTGCAAATCTTTAAACCTTAAACATCTCTCAATCTTTCCTAACCATAATTTCATTCACAATCTCTAAAAAACCTCTCATATTCTCACATTCATTCACAGCATTAAATTCCAAACAAAGTATATATAAACATAAACAAATAAACTCACCATTATTGTTGCTGATGGCAAATCGTTGCTGAAGCTGCTGAGCCAGCGCCTGATGATGCTGGGCCAATGGTGTGAGCGGCGGCGGCGGCTGACCAACGCCCAGCTGCTGTGGCGCCGATTGCGAATGGGGGACGCCACCGCTTAGCGAGGATGTGTCCGAGGAGCCATCCCCCTGGCCGCCACCCACCAGGCCGCAACCCACAAGGCCATTGGCCATGGAATTCTGTGGGTTCTGGCCGTTGAACTGCTGCACGGAGATCGAATTGGCCATTCCCTGCTGCTGCTGCTGCTGCTGGCCAAGATTTTGGCCGGCAGTGCCATAGGTGGTGGCATTTATGGAATTATTTGCCTGGCTCATGGAATTATTGTGGACGGCTGAGCTGAGAATGGAGCCATTGGCGGTGGCACCACTGCTGTAATATGACTCCTCGCCTGGAAAATAACAATAATTGGAATGTAATCAATAATTTCTTATATTTAAATCTTTCAGAATATAAGTTGTATTTAAACAGAAGTTAGAAAATCGTTTGAGAACTTGCTAATACTTTGTATTTTTGAAATTTTTGTAAACTTTATTTGTATATAACAAATACCCCTAAAAATAAATAAAAAGGTTTAAAAATACATTTATATTCCTGTCTTATTTTATTCCTTTAAAAAGTCTCTAAGAAATAATTTTACACTTAAAAAAAAAAACAAAATTCCTTTAATTTTGAACCCAAATATATATATTAATTTCTACTTTAAGATACCTTTTAAAGAGATATCAAGGACCCAGTAGTATATTGAGGGCAAGGATTTCCAGGAAAAGAACAAAAACAAAGCCTGCAAAAGCAAAGAATTCATTCATAAACTACAAAACCCCGTAAGCTTTCCATTAAATTCCTTTTTTCTGAGAGATATCAAAAAGCTTGCTCCCGGTGAAAGGCTTTCTCTCTAGCATGGCGCCATCTGTAGCCAAGTGTTGGCATTAAACTGCTTGCCTTGACTGCCGCAAGCAGCGCTTGATTGAGGTAGGTTCGGGTTTTCGCAAGGAGAATATCTCCTTCCCACCGCATTTCCTTCTCATTTGAATGCATTTCGCGTTTGGATTGTGGTTACCCCCCTCCCCCATGGATTTAGCCCTGCTCCTCCTTGGCAGCGATATGCCCATGGACATGGACAATTAGCTGCCACTGATTAATTGGCATTTAGCGAAAGAGTCGCGACTTGGCGACGACAACAACCACAGGCACTCATAAAGTTTGCTGACAAGCCAGGCGCCTCCTTCGAGGGCAACGCCCCCTTTTCGTCTCCCCATTTGCCTTCTGTGCAACAAATCACTGAGAGAAAAGGTCTAAGATAGGTCTAAATCTTGAAAATTATGTAAAAAAAAAACAATATAACACTTAGAAAAACCCTTTCAGCTTGCAATTGAATTATAGGATCGTATGGGAAGTTGATTTTAAATTAATTTCTAAATCGAAATTGATCAATATCTTTATACGACAATTTTTACGACAAATCAAATTTTAAATAACTCATAACTCAGCCAAAACATCATTAATTTTAATTCGGAAAGCTTTGCTTTGTTATTTTGTATAAGGTTTATAAATCTGCATACTCAATTTAAAATTTAAAAAAATTTAAAATTTTATCAAACTTTCAGAGATATTTACGATGTAATGCCTTATAAAATTTTGAAAAAATTTAAAAATTTTAATTTTCCTTAAAACCTGGCTAGATCGACTCCGCTGTTTATGCTGATCAAGAATATATATGATTTATAGGGTCGGAAATGACTCCTTCAGTGCGTAACAAGCTTCTGACTAAAACTAAAATACCCTGAAAGGGTATAAAAATCAAGGAAATCATTACATATATGAAACCTCTTTATTAAAAACTGCCTTACTATGTTATAAAGCAAGAAGATACTTAAATGATTTAATTTTTTAATTAATTATTAATTTAATTAGTGCATAATTTCCCTCTCTGTAATACCCCCTTTCCACTGCCTCACGCAATTGACAAGAGGTCTTTGCCTGCCTGTCACATTGCAACCAAAAGCTGCCCGAGCGGAAGGAAGACGCTCTTCTTCGGCTAGCAAACAATTTAGCAGAGTGCTAACCTGTCTAGAATACGCATGTTGACAAGGTAAGAAGGGGGGAGAAGGAGGAGGAGGAGGAGGAAGAGGAGGATATTCCAGCGGTACAATCAACACTAAGCCATGGCTATATCGTGCGCGGCTTATGGCCAATTTCCGTTATGCCCAAGCTCTTGGTCTAGCTCTTGCTTTTCTTGTGTTTATTTTGTGTGGTGAGCCATAAGCAAAAGTTGGCAACAATTGGCAGCAAACAAAAAACAAGTAACCAAGAAAAATATTAAAGAAAAGAAAAGTAAAACAAAAAAGAATCCACAAGAAGTTTGTGGAATAATCAGCAAGTTAATTTGTTCGCTTGGCACGCATTAAAAGATTCAACAAATGTTATTGTTGATATTTTGTTGCTTAAGTTTTATTTAATTTTCTTGAGACCTTAAGCTGTTGTGAGTTTTCTAGCAATATTTGTCAAAGGAAAAATGCCTTTACTACTATTATTCATTTATTTTATTTCTAAGAAAGGTTAAAGTTACTAGAAAAGGTTTATTTTTTGCTTTCTTCTCAGAATAGAATGTTCCTATATTTCGATACCTATTTCCTCAGTTTTTCTTTGAAAAATATCTTATATTTACCAGAAAATAAAATGCACTTTAAAGGAAACTCACCTGGTTCTGGAATATTGCCCAGGGGACTCTCTGGCAATAGAATCCCCTTTTGCACTAACTCATCTCGATTGGCACGCACAGAAATTTTACGCTCCAAAGCTAATAAACAAAATAAAATAATATAAATTGTAAGGAATATTTTTAATAATTAAAATCAACTTACATTTGGAGGCCGCTTCAAACTTTTCGCTCTTCTTTTTCCGTCGCCATTTCCAGGGCTTGAAGAATCTACCCAAGGCGCTGAGTTTGCTTTTTCGCTCCAAGGGAGGTGTCCTGGTTCCAGATCCCAAGCTATTTGTGCGTATGGCAGCTCCATTCTGTTTCTTAGCTATTTAAATAGAAAATAAATCAAATTATTTATAAGTACAACATTTCAAAATATATATTTGGTATGATTTTTATAGAAATAGTTCAATTTGTAGCTAATTTCAATATTAATAAACATCAAGTCAAAGTATTATATAAACATTTATAGTTTCAAATATCGAAACATTTTCGTATTGAATTATTACCCAGAACTTTTCTTTAAATTAAAATCATTTTTAAGAGATTCTAAAAGCTTAAACCCTTACTGAGGCAATTCTATTTAGTTTCTTGACTAAAAATAAACAAAAAACAATGACGTGGGGCAATTAGCAATTAGCAATTGGCATATTTCTTGAAACAACTCGATGGAAACCCAACGGCGCTGCTTCTCTGCGGAAACGGAAGCAGGCGTTCCCCTCCATTTTTGGGCCACCGGTTATTAAAATGGCCGCATTCCACGCCCCCTTTTACCGCTATTGTGAGTGAGTGTGTGTGTGTGTGTGTGAGTGCCCCATCGTGTGGCATGGTGGAATGTTGCTTTTTGTGCGTTTTTCCGCTGGAAAAAACATATGTGCAAATTGCAAGGTAAACTGTTATGGCTTTGGTTTGCTCTTTTGTTTTTTTCATTATGCAATCAATGACGTTGCCTTTGGAAATTAGGAATTCAAAGCAAGTTGCAATTAAAAATTAAATATTAGCTTTGCTAGCTCGTGGTTTTATTGTATTTTAAAATTAACATAACAAATGCATAAATGACGCAGTATTTAAAGACATGAAAAATGTATCAAAGAGAACACTACAGGTTTCTAGGTTTGAAAAGAATTTTAATTTTATTGTTATTTAGTAAATAAATTAATTTATAACTGCTTCAATAGCACCATCTGTATTTATTTAACTTGATTTATTTTCTGGCATTTTTATGTATCAAAAACAGACACAAATATAAAGCCTTTATTAATTAATATCTTTTAAAAACCTTTTTATTCTGTAGCTCCCAGGGTATAACTCTATATTTTTTTGTTTGTTATCTACCTTCCAAACAAATATTTAAATTGCTTTCTCAGCTATTTGCAGTTTCATGTCAGTTTGCATTGGGAAATCTCTTAGACACACACAATTGGTAGGGGGAAATGTGGGGGAGGGAAATGCGAAGAGAAAATCCAGTAAAGGATGAAGAGATAAGGTTTGGAAAAGGCAGATGCAGAGGGAAAATCAACAAAAAAAGGAAAAATTACACATTCCCTAGTTGGACAATTCCCACTGCCGCCCACTTTTCTCTGCACTTTTTTGGTTTTGTAGTTGTTGTTGTTGATGCTGCTTTTCAGATAAGCTTTGACATACATACACCCACATACCCACAGGTACAGGTGGCACTCGATGGAGGAAATTTAGTGATTAAAAAAATATATATTTTTAACAGATTTGGGAACTATGTATATATTTACATTTAAATCAATATCATTATTATCTTTTATAGAAAACATTTTTTGGAGACTTAAAAGCATTTAAAATTAGTTCTAAAAGTGTCAATGAAATTTTATAATTACCAAGGCACAAATTTTGAACTTTACTAACAAAAAATTCTCAATTATACATTTTATGACACAACAAAAATGTTTTCAATCTTTAAAATACAAATATCCAAGAAGTTTAAAAATTTTTGTATATTTTTATAGCCAAAATAATAAATTTAAAGTATACTGTTTTAATTTTAAACATAATTGTTGACTTTTACTGTCTAAAAGATTGATAAGATACGATTTATGATAATAGAAAACTTATCTCATACTTCTAAATTGATTTTAAAGCCATTTAGCTAAAAATATTATATATTTTTCAAATATGATATTATTTTACTTCCAAAAAGTATATAAACCGAATCTCCACTGTCTTTTAAAGTGCCGCCTGCATTGAAGCGTTGAAATTAGGCTACCTTTTCGTACGAATGGGAATAGAAGGCACAAACAAAACTAGCCAAGAGCAGAAAAGAATCCAGAGAAAAATAAAGGGGATTTTGAGGTAGCAAAAAAAAACAGCAAACGAAGAAAAAAAAATACAGTAAAACTACTGCAAATGGGCTAACAACTATTTGGCTTCATGATCTTCTTACCATAACTGGGCTTCTCACAGCGAGTGCTCCAATTGTGGTCAATTGTTGGTCAACAGCCGAAGCAGCAGTGGCAGTAAGTTACATAATAAAAAAAAGAGAAAAAAGAGGCAACTGCGAGGGAGGGAAGAAAAAAGTATCTAGCATCTTTAAGCTGTGTGTATCTCGCGGATTTGTGTCACTTCAGAGGGAATAACTTTGGCCCAAGACATCGAAGGAAAATGTGACACAAAGAATAACAACGAGGAAAATCTTTGGCTCATTTCAAATGGCGCCAACAAAGAAAATTGTGGAGAGTGTGTAAGAGTGGGGAGGGGAAGGAAATTGCGGAAAATTGCTAGGAAAAATGTGGTGACAAATCTCTTTCTCTCTTTGGGGTGAACATATAAATGTGTAGGGGAAATTGTACTAATCATTTAGGGATGTATTTGAAGGAGTTATCTTATAAGTTTAATTAATTAAATCGTCACAAAAAAATAGGATTTCAATTAATGAAATAGTTTTTTTTATAAACCCAAAACATAATATTACAAAATTTATTTTTAAACAATGAGATTTCTCTCTCAAATACATCAGTATTTATTCATAAACTATATAAAAATTAAGTGGAAGTAACAAGTTTAAATCACCCTTAACTTCTACAATTGTCTCCCAATAAAAACCAAATATATTTGAATTGGTTTAATTCCCTTTGTTGAACTACCATAATTTATTCGAGTCACTGTCGTTTATTAGTTTATTGTTCTTAATTATGCACAACCGGCAATTATTCATCAGACTTTATGGGAAAACTAGGAGTCTTGGTCTCCCCATGCCAACTCTTCCCACACTGCAGTTAATTAATTTTAAATTAATATTTTTCCCACTCGGCCATAAAACCGGCATACCCCGAAACAAATTACACATCATCAGAATCACAGCACGAGACCAGCAGAAAATTGTTAAAGGCGCGTCTCATTCTCTTTCCCAATTTTCTAGCTTGTTTTCTCCCCTTTTTCTTTATTTATTTCTTTTTTTTTATTGGCCAAAAGGGAAAAAAATACAGAAAAGCAAAACCAAACAAAATAAAAATAAAGAAAAAAAACAGCAAGCAAATAAAGCTGAGTATTTGCAAAAATAAAACAGAAATAAACAAAGCGGCAAACTGCGCTGTCGGCGTCTACAGAGGCGCCAGCGTTGCTCTGCCAGCGTTGTTGTCATATAATATTTTCTTTATTTCAATTTTTTTCCTTTTTCCCATATTTTGTTGGAGGAAAAACCGGTTTTTTTGAGCTTCGTTGAGGCGATGTTTGAATGAATGCAGCTTCCAAGATTTTGGCTTCTAAAAATGCCTCAACAACAACGACAACAGCTACAACCAAAGCGAGTGAAGGGCGCGGTACACCAACAATAACACCAACACCAACAACAACAACAATAATACAAAAAAAAAACAACAAAGTAATACTATGCGAACGCGTGGAAAACGGGTTTTCGCGAAAGTTGTTGTCATTGTTCGTGGCTGCTGTTATAGGTTTTTTTGTTGCTATTCTCGCTCAAGTGGGACTATTTTGTTGGTGTTTTTTTTTTTTTACAGTAAAACTAAGCTAAAATAATAATCAATTATAATAATAAAAAATACATAATGAAAATAAATATATATTATTTTAAATACAAAGAAAAAGTTTATTTATCAATCCATGACTAATTTATATCCGAAAAATCAACTGCACTTTCAAATCGAAATTAATTTTCTTATTTGCTTTTATATAAAGTGGTACATTATTTACAAATTCAAGAAAAATATTATTATTAAAATTCTAATTTGTTAAATATATTTTCTGTATTTGATTTTATATTTTTTCTATCTTCCGCTAGATTCCAAGTCAGAAAGGAAACCCAAAAATATGGCTGGAAAAATCTTGTTTATGGTTTTTCTTCCATTGTTTAAAGGGAAATGGAAATAGGGGAAAAGCTGCCAGTACTTGGAGAAAAACAAGTCATAAACTGGCAGCAAATGAAAGTCAAGGAGTAAAAGTATGAACAAAAATAAAAAGGAAAAAGCAAAAGGCATAGGATATTCGCGGATAATTAATTACAAACAAGAATTATGAATGTTCAAGTGGGATTTATGTAAAGGATTCATAGGGAGAGCAAGGATTTCCACTTGAGTTGCTAAAATAATTCTAAGAAATATTAAAGTTATGAAAGAAAATGTGCTCTATCTTATTAACTTTATAATTCTTTAATTTTCATCCATTTCCTTGCTAAATACTTAACAAAAAATATACCCCAAGCCTACTTTTTACTTATCTTCATGATAATGCCTTTATGCAAGATATATAGTAGATATATATTTTTTTATTTAAGTCGCAATTCTATGTAAAATGTCAATTGGTTTGTTCCACTTTAAAGTGCACTCACACATTGCCTTATAAATCAACAAAAATCGTTGCTGATAACTACACCGCAAACACGACAACAATAACATGAAGAATTTATTTGCACAACGTGATGTGCTCAACAATTTGTTAAAATAACACGACAAAAAAATCAAAGACAACAAAAAACTAAAGCTAGAGGTGAATTTCAGCACCTCACAAAAGCCAAAGAGATATATAAATTATTTCAATGACTTTAAGCTATGTCTCGCATGTAAAAATAAATAAAAGACGAACAAAAATAATAGAAGACACAGACATGTCAAAGCTGAAATCCCACAAAAACAAGCCAAAAGTTAATTACATTAAAAAGCAAAACAGAAAATTTAAGAGAGTGAGAAGAAGGCGCTGCCAAATGTCAGAGGGGCTTCAAGTCACGGCAGAAAGTGAAACACTTGCAAACCAACAAAAAATGAAAAAGAAAAAGTGTAACAAATTGTATGGAAAATAAATTATTTCTCCATCTCTCTCGCTCTCCTGAGCTCTTTCTCTAAT